GGGCCGCACGCATGCCAGGCGAGCGCGCTACCACTTGAGCCACATCCCCAGCCCTTAAATAATTCTTGTAAGTATTGCCAATTTATAGATATAGTTCAAGTGACCATGAACTAAAATATTTGGTTGAATTCTTCTGCATCTTTAAACTAAAAAGCACAGTCTAAAATTAGAAATCATATTATCTCAAGCTATACATTTTCAATTAGAATTACAAGTTCAATTTATTGGATTTTCTAAAATGCCAAATTCTCTTAAGTATTTCAAATGCTTTAAATACCACACATTCAAAGATAAGTCCTGCCATCCCCCAAGGCCCTGGGTTCGCTCAGTCACCATCTGTGGCTCTATTGGGAAGTGGTAGAATCTTCAGGAGGTGGGGCTTAGTGGAAGGAAGTCAGGTCTTTGTGTTATGCTTTTGAATGGGATTTTTGGACCCAAACCCCTGCCTCTCTCTTCTTTGCTTCCTGGCCACTATGAGGAAAACAGCTCTCCTCTACCACGTGCTCCTGCTGTGATGTACTGTTCCATTACAGGCCCAAAGCAACAGTGCCAAGTGACCATGAACTAAAATCTCTGCAACTGTGAGTCAAAATAAACCTTTTCTCCTTTGATTTTTTTTTTATTATCTCAGGTATTTTGTCATAGTGTTGAAGAGGTAGTATGATTCCCATGTACCTCACAAAATATTAGGATGTGATAGTGGAAGCAAATGTGACTCCATTTTGTTTTATGACTTCATCCTGTAAAACAACCATGCCAAGTAGAAGGGTCGTGACCAGGACAAAATGTTCTTTTCCTTTTGCTACAGAAACCTTTAAGAACATGGATCTACCTAATGGGGCACTGTTTCTGTAACTAGGGTAACGGGGCTCTGTTTCAGTAACTGGGGTAACTGGGCTAACCGTGATTGGTTAGGCTTCCCGCCTCTTGACTGCACTCTCCCGCTTCTGTAACCTGGCTTGCTTGCATTGACTAGACCCCCAAGCATCCCTTTTGCGGTTTTCAGACTTATAAGGAGTGCCCTTGCAATTGTTCAGGGCTGATCAGGGGAACAGCTTTATGTTCTGGTCAGCCGCCACCGGTGTGCTTCAATAAAGGCTTGATTCGATTATACGTGAGTGGTCTGGAAGTCAGTTTATGAAACCCCGGCATGAAGCTTTAACTATAACAAGATGATGGGTCCAATTTATTCCAACATCTTTATAATTATTTCTAAGTTTTTTCAGGAACAAAAGATCTTTATAATTAAGGAAATTATATTATCTCAAGAAATGTGGGCAGAAGTTGTTTATTAACCACAGATTTGGGCAAGCATGTAAGACTTGGAGCTGTGTACACCAAAGGGGATTTTACACCTGACTCTGAATAAATGATTGAGTCACCTTTGATAGTCCTGGTGTTACTAGGACCTCATGCTTCCAAACACAGGTGCCTCACATCTCACTCTTCTGATACATGGATCAATTATCTTGTTCTCATTTTGCCTCACCTCTGGCTCAGATTTTCTACTTATATTCTCAGTTATCTTCCTAGACATAATAAAATGCAAGAATTTAATTTAAATAATAGGTGACTAAACTCTGCATCTCTTTAATTCTTTTTGACTCTATAGCCCATCTCCAAAATTAAGCTTGGACAATCACTATAATAATAAGGAAACATAGGACTAATAACCTAGGTAGGGAGAAGGAGCTTCTTTTCTCTCTCTCTTTGTGGTACTAAGGATTGAACCCAGGCCTCACGCATGCTAGGCAAGCAGTCTACCACTGAACTACATCCCCATTTTTTTTTAATGTTATTTTGAGACAGGGTCTTGCTAACTTGCTGAGTTTGGCATCGAACTTGCAACGCACCTGCTTCAGCCTCCCAAGCAGCTGGGATTATAGGTATGTTCTGCCAAGTTGGCCTTCCTCTCTCTTTATTGGCAGAAGCAGACTGTGTTGGCTCTCCCTTTCTGCACCTGCTTCCAGGCCCTRGTCTTTCCTGGAGGTCTCCCATCCCCTCCTTCATCCCAAGAGCTCTCCCCAGCCTCCTGTGGGATTCTACTCAGGCATGGTCTTTTGCTCCCTACGGTGACAGGCTCCTTTCTCTTTGCCATTCCCTCATTAACCCCAGTAACAAGTGAGAAGAGCATAGGAATGAATTCATACCAGTTGGTGACTGATGTCCACTTCAACTCTTAGAGCCATTAGTTTGAAGTTAGATTTTGAATAGGACTTTGACTCACCATGTCAAGAAATCCAGGGAGTGACTTAAGAGTGAGCTATCCTGTTCTGAGTCTATATCTGTTATCAAGTACTTTTTGAGTTTTCCCGCCCCACCGTGTTTCCACTTCTTTCAAAATTTTACGAAAGCTCCAAGCTTTCTGCCTCAAGGTTTTTTTTTTTTTTGGGGGGGGGCACATTCCAGGGATTGAACTCAGGGGCACTTGACCACTGAGCCACATCCCCAGCCCTATTTTGTATTTTATTTAGAGACAGAGTCTCACTGAGTTGCTTAATGCCTTGCTTTTGCTGAGGCTGGCTTTGGACTTGCCATCCTTCTGCCTCAGCCTCCCCAGCCACTGGGATTATGTRTGTGCACCACTGAGCCCAGCTCTGCCTCAAGTTCTAATATATAGAGGAGAAATGACTAAGATAGGATAAGGCAGTGCACCCAGCCATAGGCTGATGCGCATTTGATAACCAGCTCTGTGTAGCTCTGGTTTGTAGGGGTTGCTAATTTCTGTGGTGTAAATACTCCAAAAATGTTCATTTTCAAACTATCTATAGTTAAACAACTAGCTCCCCAAATTCCAAAAAGTTGAGTAGTTAGTAATTGCTTCTATTTGTTCTGATTGTTTTGCATATATAAATCTTTCCCAACAATGTAGTAAGCTCCATAAGTGGAGGAATTATATTCTAGATCTCCTGTTGGGCTCATGGACCTAGCATGATCAGACAAAAAAGCAGTGATTAAGTTTGAGAGCCCATTTCCTGTGGACATACTGCACAGCCAAGCAGGGAGATTATATTGGGATAGCAGTGGGATGCCTCCTCTTTCCATCAGCCTCAGGGTACACAGGAGAATATGGGAGTCATTGAACACTTCTGATAAGGAACCAGGCTCACTGAAATCAGAACAGGATACTATATGAATTAAGCTCAGACTCCCAACCAGATCCAATCAACCAACATACTTTCCTTCTGAGTTAGTATATTTTTGTGTATAGAAGTTGATGTGCTTCAGTGATCAGAATGAATATTCCTCAAGAAGATGATCTGGGGCTCAGCTTGTGGCTCTGTGATAGAGCACTTGCCTAGCATGTGTGAGGCACTGGGTTCAATGCTCAGCATCACATATAAATAAGTAAATGAAATAAAGGTCCATCAACAACTAGTAAAAAAAATATTTTTTAAAAAATAAGATCTGTAGCCAGGTGTGGTGGCGCATGCCTGTAATCCCAGCCTCTCAGGAGGCTAAGACAGGAGGATCACAAGTTCAAAGTCAGCCTCAGCAACAGGCGAGGCACTAAGCAAATCAGTAAGACCCTGTCTCTAAATAAATACAAAATAGGGCTGGGGATGTGGCTCAGTGGTCAAGTGTCACTGAGTTTAATTCCTGGTACCCCTCCAGAGAGAGAGAGAGAGAGAGAGAGAGAGAGAGAGAGACTGACTGACTGACTGACTGTCTAGTAAAGTGCCAAGAGGTCCAGTTCCAGGGAAAGGTCATTAAAATAGCTATAAGTTATGGTATAGCCTACCTGTACCATATAGTGAGTGGAGAGCCAAGAGAGTCAGAGGGCTCTTGGAAGAACTAGGAGCTCAGGAAATGACCTTTCAATAAATGTATACAGTGAGGAAAACAGGGAAGATGGAGAACAACCAAATGAATATATTTCTCTTCCCTGGGTTTTGGAATTGGAAAAGATTTGTAAATGCTATAGACTGAAAAGCAGCTGTGGCAGAATGTGGCCTAGAGGTCACTGGTCCCAAGAGACTAGTCATCAGTGCTCATAACTGGTGGACAGGCACGAGTTCTCTTTACCCGTTGGAGATGATGAAGGAGATCAGACGTTCTGAATTACAAGGCAACACACACAACTCAGCTTTATACCTAAGAAGGATGCCTGGAAGTTCTCCATGTCTCATATTGGGATGCTCCATTGTATTTTCTGACTACCAAAATCATGGTAAAATGTAGTAAGAGTGTTTAATCCTTTATTTATGGTTTAAGTTATTTGGGGAATTCTGGAATAAAAGAATATATTACTACAAAGGAATATTCTTTGGAACTAAAATTCTAGGGCATTTATAAAATTTTCCTGGTTCCTTGGTTTAAACTGGAAAGTAAGAAAGGTAGGTGTATAGATTAGGCAAATTTCTGCCTATACGTATAATTAATAGTACTAGCACAGAACATGGCTGTGAGCAGCTTTTTGAGTCTTAGGAGGGCTTATGTGACCCATTCATGCACTATTGTCCTGATTACTTAGGAGGTATTCATTCAGCAAACATTTATTGGATATCTACTACACATCAGGTACTAGGGGGACAGCATAAGACATAATTATTTTCAATAAATTTACAGTCCACTAGGGGGAGCCAAATATATAAATAAGCGTAAGAATTGTGTTAAAGATAGAAGTCTGTGGAAGGTGTGCATGAGGTGAGGAGAGAGGATCTGAAGGAATTGGGCAAATCTGTCCCAGGGCTGGTCATAAAAAATCTTAATTGGCAAGGTGCCCCTGGGCAGGTATTTCTGGGCCTCCCTACCTAGACTGAGGAGGCTGCTTAAGGTATACAAAGAACTGTTAGGTCTTTTGGGTGAAGCTGATTGGGGTGACCCAGATGAGACCCTTTGCCATGACCTTCTGATTCATGCACATGCTCAGTTTCACAGACTACGGGGGCCTGAGGAGAAAATATCATCCTGCAAGTTCAATGTGGAACCCTCAGAGAACACCATTCGCCATCAAACTGAGCCACAAATAAGCAACGCCTGAGTAGCATCGTTATTAGAAATGATGTCTTCTCCTTTATTTCTACATTCATATAAAAAGTTCTGATATATTTGGGCTGTAAAAGAAAGCCACAGTAAATACAAAGAAATTTATAGGAAATTAAAAAATATATAGTTTTAGCATTTGGAAAAGCAGTTATAGGTTGCTTCCTCTGTTTAATTATCCAAGCGATCAAAAATCTGGGTTTGAAACTCCTGGAAGTCCTCCGGGATGGTGTCTGCAAAAACAATGGGCGAAGGATGGTTAATTAGGAGCCTTTCTACCTGGAATCCAGAACCATTTTGCATGTCAGTCAGGACTCCTGTAGGGGGCGCTCTCAGCTTGCCCAAGAGGCCCCACAGGCCCCGGCAGCCATTTTCTACTTCAGGCTGCTTTGCAAATTGTTGGCTGAAAGCCCAGCAACGCTCATTCATAGCCCTGAAGAAAATTAGCAGGCAGAGTGGCTTTTGAGTCTGTGATTATGTTTGAGCCATATGAAAATTAAGGCTGCCTGTAAATTGAATCTGACTGAATTTCTCACTGAACCCCAAACCTAAACCATGCCGTTAAATTCGATGGATCTAAATTTTCAAATTTATAAAATCAGAAAAATGAGATCCACTTCTGACTTCTGTTACACAGGGGCTATCAGATTTTAATGAGCATGTAGCATGAGCTTTGGGCTTTCGAGGGGAGAGTATGCTATAAAAATATGGTGGCACTGTCTGATTAATTCTAGTAATAACATTGTGCAGTAGCAGAATGTACGTTACCATTGCAGCGATACTTGAGGTTGGACCAGATGATGTTTTCTTGAGAGAAGCAAAAAACTCCAAGTCGGCCCCCACGCATGGTAGTGTCTATGGTGACCCCAGAGTCAGCCACCAACTCTGAGCCTTCATAAAATCGCACCCTGCAGACAACACAGGCAGAACAGGTCTCCATGAAGCCCARTACAGGGTGAAGTGCCCATGAGGAGACCCAGGGTCCCATGACTTGCCTTTATTCTCTTTGACACTCATTTCCCACTGACCTGGACTGTGCGGTAGCTGGTCTCCCTCCCTATTAGACTGGAAGCTCCTTGAGGGCAGGACCTGTGTATCTATGTCTTCCCAGCCAGTAGCAGGGAGATGGTACAGGGACAATTCAATGGTCTTTCAAAAAACCCTACACAATTCTGGGACACAGTAAATTTGATAGGTATTTGCTGATGARTTAAAAAGATATAGCCTGACATCCTGGGAGAAAGGCCCTGTGGCTACATCTTATGAGTGACCTTGTCTGGACAGATACTTAGAACTTCTACTCTTCCTCAGTTCTACTGGATATCAYGCACAGACTCCCAGAGCCACAATTCACAATAGACAACAACATTCCCTACGTAGAAGTTCAGAAACCTGCAGGACATTTTTGGTTGTCATGGTGGCATTGAGTTGCAGAAGTTAGGGACACTGGATGGCTTAAAATGCCTGGAGAGACTAGTCAAAATTGGTCCTGCATCCTGTGTGCTTTTAGARTGTTTCTCCAGACACACAGAAGGATAACGGCCTGTTTGTAACAACCGGGGCCTAGAACTTAATTCCCTTTTACTTGTCTACATCACGTATATTTTAGACAGATTTTCATGTTAGCTGAAGTCTCCAGGGTAAATTGGGAAACTACTAAGTACTTTGTTTTGGTTGAAAATTGAGTTTTACCATTTTACAACTTCACATCACCTTTGGCAATACCATTGTAATATAATTTGTCACTGAATCATCAATCTGTATTAGAATGTCACTTTCACAGTGATTCTAGGCATATGGATGCTACTCTCTATTTCATTTTGTCTTCTGGTATGATTGTGCCCAAGCATTTATATTATTTTGTTGTATATTACTTTATTAATTATTAATAAAGTAATATACAACAAAATTGTATATTAATTTATTAATTATTTCTCTATTGTTAGAGCTCAGATTGACTTTCATAAAATAATATGTGTAGGTGGGTTATATTTCCTATGATTTCATTTTGGGATAGAAGAARGGGTATTTCAACATATTTGTCTTARAAAAAGGATGTTGGTCTTAACAAGGCTGAGAACATGAAAGGCCATGCGCTTCCTTATTGTGGGGCAAACAGAGCCCATTAGACATAATGTCATAGAGGAGAACAYAATGAATTAGTCCAGATAAGCTTCTTTTTCCTTCTAAGTTGCTTTCCTGACCTGTTTAGGAGAATGCAATCTATACTAGTTCCTAAAGGTACTATGTAAGCTGACATGGGTGTTGATCTGCAAGTATGAAAACTAAAATAAGTATATTGTCTAAATTTCAAAGATGTAGGCCATTGTAACTCCTGAGATTAGTTAAAAAAAAACAGTCCTATAAAGAAATAGGGCATACCCATTACACAGTTCCAAAGCCACTTTCATGTTTTGGGGGATTTGTTACAGCAGTACCTTATTTGTTATGATTTAGATATTAAATATTAGATATGAGGTGTCCCCCAAAAGTTCATTGCGAAACAATGAAAAATTTTCAGAAGTGAAATGATTAGATTATGTGATGTTTAACCTAATCAATGGATTAATCCATTGATATGGATTAACTAGGTGATAACTATAGGCAGGTGGGGGTATGGCCAGAGGTGAGACATTGGGGTTGTGCCATTGGGGATTATACTTTGTCCCTGGTGAGAAGAGCTCTATTTCCTGGCTATCATGTCTTCTATCCTCAGGTATCTTTTTCTGATCATAGCCAAGAAAAGTCTCAACRATCTGTATAATTAAGTCTGACCACTGGAATTATCCAGGTTAATCTCTACATTCCAAGTACCACATCATATCTGCAGAGTTTATTTTGCAATCTAAGGCACAGTATCAAGAGATTAGAAAGATTAGAATTTGGGGTCTTTATTCTGCCTGTCACTAGATAGATTACTCGCTTTACTCACTTTCCTAATTGATCTTTGTATCATTTATGAATCTAAACATTAAAAAAAATCACAYAAATGGTTTAGAATAAAAGAAACAAAGGAGACTAATAGAGCTAAGACAACTCTTGGAATGCATACTAATATTACATCTTAGGCCACAAACATACAAAAATCATATAGAATATTAATAAGATGATTGATGGCATTTGAATTTATGTTGCTGATTATATATCGTGTTATATCATTATTATATTTTCTGATTTGATAAGCATATTATGGTTTTCACTTGTACTTAGGAAATATGTTCTAAAGTATTTAAAAATAAAAAGACATGATGGCTAAAAAAAAAATAGGGTAGATCACATTGCTTACATGATGAACAGTTTGTACCATACATGGTACGTAGCAGGTGTCACGCTAGGCACTGGGGAGACAGAGATCAAGACACAGGTGCTGTCCTCCTGGAGTTTACAGTCCAGCAGTGAAGACAGACCATGAGGGACTCTCTGCATTCTAAGTGATTACATAGGCCCAGAGGAGTCTCAGGGCAGAGCGCGTGCAGGCGTCTCAGCCACACGTCCTTCCCTCCACCCATCAGCAGATCCACTCTCAGGCTTTGCTAAGGGCACAGCAGAAGGGCACCACCATCCATTTGCATGGGTCCCCAATGCCTCCCCCAGAAGTTCCTGCGATGCAGCACTTGGCCCTCRTTTCACCTCTCTTCTGGGTGTCCTGGTCTGAAGTCGTGGAAATCCTGGCAAATCCTCAAGGATAATCCCAGATCAGGACTAATCAGGGCAGCAAAGGCTCTGGGGTGAAGAATGGAGTATACCAGGGCAGGAGAAGAGACCCCCACCTACCTGATGTACCCCACCTGGGGCCTGTGCTGTAGGAACCAGCGATAGGACACCTTGTCCTTCCAGCCCACGTTCCTGGAGTCCTTCCACAGCAGCCTGACCTGGTCGCTGGTGTCCCCTGTGTGCCACAGGGAGTTTCGGAGATGTTCCCCTGGGCCCGTCTTAGACTTTACAGCCTGGACAAGGACAGGAGGAGAGTGTTAGAAGAGGACACACAGACCATCTTTCTGTGTAGACCTGRGGTGATGACATGGTGTTGAATTCTGGTTACAGTCAGACGGCCTTGGACTTGTACAAAACAAATACTTAAGTGTTCTTTCTTCTGAGGTGACCCCAGCCCCTTAGTACTAAGCAGGGAACAATACTGTACTGCTCATTCCATACTTTTTCTAYGATAAGTCCATTGCTTCCCCACATTGGCCCCATGAGGGCTCCCCGCAAATGTCTGGCTCCTGAATTTGTCTTCTGCCCTCATGGGAATGATGGAGATAGCCCACCAGACCTTCTGTACATAGCTGGCCCTACTGACCAAACACCTGAGCCAGTTTCCAGCACAGGATGCCTGAAGATGCACTCTAGACCTTCCCAATCTCTCTGACTCCATGTAGGCTCATGTTCCCTGACGGTCACCCAGAGATCTGAGTGTAGTTGTCATACAGGCAGGAAGGGAGTCTCTGGGTCAGCTCTCATCCTGACTATGTCATTGTCATCAATGTATCCATTTCTAAGATTGTCTACGTGCCATTTGGGAGAACTTGGGATTTAAAGGGAGGGTAAAGGGCCCAGAAGAAGGGGAGATGAGGGGCTTTGACCACCATTACCTTGAGCTGGATGCCAGGTTCYGCCACAGCTCGGAAGGGCGTGGCTTGCCAATATGTCTGCTCCGTCTGTTTCCACATGACCACGTAGAAGCTGGAGCTATCTTGGTAACCAAAGATAAAGCCTGCATAGTCATCATCGGTCTGGGTGTTTACATGGAAGGTCCCTTCGAAGTCAACTCCATTGAAAGCCGTGTACCCTGTGGAGATCAGATATGATTAGACAAACAGAAACATTGCCAGCTGGCAGAATTCTACAGGAGAGTAAACTGAGGCCCCAGACATACCCACTGCCAGGCCAGGATCACTGTTCATGGTCTGCACAATCTCCATGCCCTGTAGAAAGAGTTGAGGAAGTTCAGAGCGATCTCAAAGTGGACCAAGTAAACTTGGGGAACCCAGAACCCTGGGTGCCATGAGTGGCAGGCTGGTGATGTGTGACCTCCATTAAAGGTTTCATTATCTGAGTACTTGTTGCATCTTGTTATGAGTCCAAAGAAAGCACAAACTGGCAAAGAATGTTTAAATAAAAGAAACTCTGGGTGTCACCTGAGGGCTGGTCTTATTGCCCACTAAAGAGAAATAATTTTTCTAAGATTGTCACTTAAGCACACTCCCCTTGATTGGGGAACATGTATTTCTAATATGGTTTGCTCTGTGACTCTGGAAAGTCTACTAAATCTCTCTGCCTTCCTTTCTCAGCTATGCAATGAGGAGGACAAGGAGGAGGCTGATTACTGTATCAGGAGCATGATTGGTCCAAGTTCCAGGTCCAGCCATCTTAGCCACTCACTGCAGAGCTACCCTGAGCAGTCTTCAAGGCTTTAGAAGACTCGATTTTATCATCTATAAAATGGGCACAATGAAGGACTTTGTCTCAGGACTATGAGGAGGAACACATGAACAGCTTCCCGTTCTTAATCAGCACCTCTAAATGTCACCTGCCACTATTAAAAAAGACAAAGCCGAGCTCTTGCCAACTCGGATACACTCACCTGGTTCAGGACCACCCAGTTGGGATCGATCTGGGCATCCCCTTCAGGATCCAGAACCACGGTCTGGTAGGCTCTGAAGTCCGTCAGGGTGATTTCTGCATTCTCAGGGCAGACATCGATCCGGTCGATGACCTGGTCCTGGTCAAAGTCAGCCTCACAGATGTCTCCCACCCCATCACCTGAGTGGGGTGAAGAAAGGGGACAGGAGCTCAACAACGCCCATACTTACCACTCCTCAGCAGAGAAAGGGGCTGGACGGGCGACAGAAGACGAGCCCAAGTTCCCACCTCCAGGGCTAGGATTCGCCAGTGTCAGGAGGGGAACCTTGGGGTTGGTCCTAGGCTTCAACCTGGACCCTACTGATGGGCAATCAGACCAGCCCTCAGGTAACACCCAGAGTTTCTTGTAAGGTCAATGTTAACAGTTGCCCTTCACGGTGTCCCCAGGAAGTTTTTATGATATATGGTTGGGTTTACCAACTGGTGGCTCATAAGCCTRATCTTATGTAAGCAAATGTCCACAACATTTTCTGGGTTATAATGTGCAAAAAGCAGGGAAATTACTGTCACCAGAATCTTATAAATTCTGATTGGTCCCTCAGCTGAATTTGGCCTACAAGTGAATTTCATTCAACTGAAATGACATTTGAATTTGCATAGCTGGGGATAAGGCCTCTAGTTACCTTAACCCCCACYGCTCCCTGTCAACTCCTGTCTGACTTGGTGCACACATGTCAATGCCTGGCCCCTGCAGGTGTCTGAGTTTGTGAATCCAGCCCATCCCTTTCTGTTGTGCCCTTCTCTCTGGCTCCTTTTCTGGGACCCCCAGTGACTGGAAGGAGCAAGGACAATGTAGCCACTCTCCCAGTCTCTGGGGGATGGAGCTGAGCACATGGCTGTGGCCTTGCTCTGTATGATCGCATCCTAGGGTAGCCCAGAAGCTGCAAAGTGATCAGCTCTGAGTTGGAGACCATCATCTACCAGATGTCTACCGTCCACACAGAGTGTGCAGAGGAGCTGAGTTTGACGCAGCCGTTACTGGGAGGCAAGAAAGCAGAGGATCTGAGTCCTCAGTGCCCTGAGGGGGGCAGTGTGCCTGGCCAGAGGGGGTCTCAGGCAACCTGGGCTGGGCCTGCTTACTGTTGCTGTCCTCCTGGGCTGGGTTAGGGACCAGCCGGCAGTTGTCTGGTCCCGGGGGCATCAGGTCCGGGATGCCATCATTGTCATCRTCATCATCACACTCATCCCCAATTCCATCCTTATCAGTGTCCAGCTGAGCACTGTTGATGACGGTGGGGCAGTTGTCTGTGCTGTCCTGGTGGCCATCTCCATCACTGTGGAGAAAGGATTTCAGTTCAGCAGGGGACAGGAAGGAGAATCTGGGTTGGGGGATTTTAACAGCCTTGGATTTTATCAAACCCGCTAGTTCGATTCCTTTGATGAGGCGGCCTTATGGGCTGCAGAGACAATTTTCCACTTCTTTAGCCTTTAAAAACAAGACAGCCATTTACTACTGAAGATAAGAGTCTGTGTCTGTGATTTGTGACCAGAGGCTCCTCTCGGTGCCTGGGACTGTTAGATGATCCCCGACTCTGAGGACATGTGAAGGGCACAGAGTGAGAGGCTGTGGTGCCAGGGAGCTCCAGAGAGAGTCCTGGCCCAGCCACCCTGACCAGCAGGAGACCTCGCACATGACACTCCACATCTGTGGTTCAGTGACCTCATCTGTAAGCTGGGGATAGTAACGGTCCCTACTTCCTAGGATTGTTATGAAGAGTACGTGAGTCAATGATCAGAATTTTGCACAGTTCAATTTTAATACATGAGAAAGCACTTGCTAAGTGCCTGTGAAAGAATCCTACAGTGTGTTCTGTTTATTACCTTTTATAATCCCTGGCCCGTGGACACAATGAGAATTCTGACCTGAATGCCATGGGGAGACTGGCAGAGAATACAGCTGCCCCTTCCCGAGAGGTGGGCCCAGGACTTCTCAGGGTTCTTACTCTCAGACCACCACTTTTCCTCTTTCAGGCTGAATAGCCATGGGAGGATGAGTCTGCACTGTCTCCCAGAGGTTACCCTGAGTCTCTTGACACCTCCCATGGCTGCTTCAGATCACAGCAGATGCTCCTTTCACCCTGTGCCTTCTGTGGCCTCCCATCGGCAAGGAACTGCCCCTACACTACATGGGAGCGAAGCCAGGGACCAGTCATTCCACATGGCTCCAGGGGCAACAGAAGTCAGTCCAACCTGGACAAACCGAAGACTGTCTCAACTGGTAGAATTCCTGTGCAGGCTCTCGGGCTGCTTTTTTAAACATACCATTGAGCTATTTCCATTAGCAACAACTATTCTATAGAGCCCTGAACATTTGTATGCAAAAAAAACAAGCAGTTCCTGTCCTCTCCCTCAAGGTTCACATTTGTGGGAATTAAAATGTGGCAGAATGAGTCATTTGTTTTAGGCAAATTTCTAGAGGCTGGTGGAATAGCATATTTTAGAAATTAGATGGTAATCCGAGTACAGGATGACCTGTGACAGGGAACATTCTCGATATACATCATTTAGGGGGGTTGTCAGGGTGCCAGTCCCACCTTCCACTCTGAAACCRAGAGATCTGAGGTCAGACTCCCTTCCTGACTCGCCCCTCCTATACTGTGATACCAACAGTAACAGCCACCATTTTCTGCCTATGGACTGAGAGCCAGTGCTGGGCTGGGAGTCTTACCTACAAGATCTTGAATTTTCACCATTACCTGTAACATGTGATTAATTATTTATATTTTTCAGATAAAGAAATTGAGACTCCAAGAGACTGAAAAATATGTCCAAATCACTCAACTTTGTATGTGCTCAGCAATGAAGACACGGAACATACTGAGGGAGCTGTCTTTGAGCAAGATGTGGATGGAGAACTGAGTCTGCAGCGCAATCTGTGATCCAGGTACTAGGAGAGAAGCTGAATCTCTTGCTGCTTTGCCTTATAGCATCCTTGCCCTCTTTACTCTGGTTCTGAGTGCCTCTCTATGAGTTCCCCAAGGAGTGCAGGGGTTAGAGCCTTGGAAAGCAGGTATCTCCAGAGATGAGTGGCACATGGCTGTGTTTCTTTTGTGATGCTCCTACAGCATCTTTTTTTTTTTTTTTTTTTTTTTAATTGCAGTGCTAGAGATGGAACCTAGGCTAGGCCCTTGAGCATGCTAAGCAAGGACTCTATCACAGCTACATCTCCAGCCAGCCCTGGTCTTAATGTGGGACTCCACTGTGTTGGGCTAGGAGGGTTGGCAAAATTTGCTTGCACAGAACAAATTTAACTCAAATAAGAGAAACTAAATGGAAAAATGTGAAGGACAATGAAAGTAATAGCGATCCCTCAGCAAACTGACATCTATGTTGGGATGATGGTGGAGTTTTCCTGAATTGAAAGAATATAACCAGAATGTTAGATTTACAACAGAAATCATGCTAAGCACTTCTTATGAATTAACTTCATCTTCCCAAAAGTCCTATGAGCTAGATCTACTGTCGTCCCCACTGTACAGAGGAGAAATTGAGGCACAGAGAGATTAGGTAACTAATTTAAGATTAACCAGATTGTAAGAGAAAGAACGGTGACTCATGTCTGGCTGTCACACTCTAGAACCTGTCTGTAGGGCATGGTACCACTGTGCCTCTCCTGCCATCGAGCTTCCTTGCTGGAGTGTCCAGTGGCCTATTCTACACTGCCATCTCTTACACAGCATTTCCAGAGAGGAATGGTGGCCCTGACTGGAGACAGAGCTGTCCCAATAGCAGCCCCAGAGAGATCCAGAATACACCCAGACAGATCTCAAAGCCTGCTATCAACAAAGCTCCGAAAATTAAAACTTCAGATTTTTGTATCTGCCTCTCTGAAGTGGGACATAGGCCGTACCTGTCCTGATTGGTGTCACAGGAGTCCCCAACCAAATCATTATCCACGTCAGACTGCAAAGAGAACAGAATGTGTTATTTATCCCTGGGCCTGCATGTACAGAATGTTCTAGAGAAGGCAGACCTCACCCATCATCACTGGATTTCAGGAATTATTTCTCTGGAGTTGGGATGGTACAAAACTGCAAAAGGACAACACCATATTGGTGTAGGCACAATGCTGAATTTTCAAAAAAGCCTTCTAAAATATCAAGCTGCATGGATGGGCTGCCTACACACCAGMTGAGCTGATTGGGAAAGGGTGCCCGGCTAGCATGGTGGCAGGTGGAGATGCAGAGCTCTGGCATGAGTTGGAAGGGAGCCAGCCATAGGCATGAGGACAAAGCAAATTGACTTTGCTTTGCTTCCGTATTTTGGAATGGAGTCAAAATGGTGAGTCACYGAGGGCAACAATGACTCCCCTCTCAAAGGGCTCCAGAAACAAATGACACATCATGCCCAATTATCCAGACAGGGAGGGGGTGTGTAAAGGGAAACTCGACACGTCACTGACTGAACTTAATCTGAAATGTCCATACATAGGCTGTGCAGGGATCTGGGAACTAACGGGACACATGATTAGGCTCTCAATGGTTAACTTCCACGTTCCATTTTCCTTTTAGCAGAAAAAAGTTATTTTGGGCATCATTAAGCTCAAGTTACTAACATCAGCAGTGCTCTTCAGCTGTGAGACTTTATCCTGAAGGCCTCAGAAGACCCCATCCAGACTCCTRTAGTGCTCGTGCCACCATCCTCAAGCCTAATGTGTGTCATTTCTCCACCTGTCCTCTGTTACATAAGTGGCAACAGGCAGGAGCCGGCCAACAGCTCTGCTGTGTTCCTCTGGACATTGGTCTTAGATGAATCTTTGCCTAAGACAGTTCAGCCTAGAGTTTGAATTCCCCTGAAGCCTACTAACCTGGTTAGGGTTGCTGACATCAGGACAGCTATCACAAGCATCCCCCACACCATCACCATCCTTGTCCCTCTGGTCACGATTGGCAACTCTGGGGCAGTTGTCCAAAATGTTTTTTATTCCTGCAAGAAAAGAAGGCTACCTTGGTTCAGGGGAACATGACAGAAGGGAATGTGACACACTGACTTCTGGGTGATACACAGGTCAGGCCCATGGTCATTGTCACAGTCATTACCCTTTTCAGCAGTTATCTGAAGGTCCCATTTAAAATTCCATTTTAAATGGGACCTGCAGAATGTTTCCCCCACATGAGATGTGGTTTTGGAAAGTCATTTCAAAGGAAGGATTCTGGAAGACATAAAAAAGGAATAGCTCTTATAGGCATTTATCCACTGATTTGGGATTTGTCCAAAAGAAGTGGGGGGCACGATGGCTGGTTGGGCTGACCCTGAGAGGGAGGACCTAATGGTGTCCGAGTTATGACTTGGATACAGGGTTCTGGACAGTGGTATGCTGGAGTCGRGCCCACTGAGTCCCTCTTGTGCCAATTTTGCATTGAATGACATCATATTGGTAGTTTAAAATCGATGATGGGAGAAGTAACATTGCAGAAATTGACGAATTGGGGCTTTCTTTGTTGTTTTTTTTTTTTTTTTTAATTGAGCTGGTTTGTCAGTGCACCACTGGGTCAGGRGTATCAGCTGGGCTCATAGAAGATGAGGTCATGCTTTAGGGAGGTATAGATATTCTGTGTGGTCTGTGTGTGTGCATGCRTACATGTGTGTTTGGAGTGGGTGGTATTTCTAAAGGGTTTTCTCCCCCTGCTCTGTGTTTTGGTATGTTTTCCAGAAACTACYAGATCCCACGCTATCCTTCAGTGCTCGTCATCTCTATGCCACGGGAGTCATACAGAATCAAATGACCTCCCTCAAGTCTCATGAAGTTCCTCAGCTGGCTAGGTCTAGGAGGGGCCTCTTACACGGACCTCACACAAAGTTCCTGTAGSGGGGTTCCCAGAGCTGTGCAGTATAGCCACCCTGCTTCCAGAGCCCGACCCAGAATAGGCAGAGGATGGCCATATTTCCCTGAGGGGCCTGGGTCTCAGAAGTGTGCCTCAGAGGGTCTCRTCTGTGAATCTGCTCAAAGCTCAATTCTCCATTTCCAGGTGGAGAAAGGTGGTGAGGAAAGTACAATTGGGGAAGGTAGATCCCCTACAGGACACAGCCCTGACATGACCCTGCTGGAAGGGGTTTTTATTAAGTTCCTAGCAATGACATAGAGTTCCAGAAACATCCACAGTTATTAAACAGGGGCATGGGCTGTGGWGTCTCCTACAGAGACAAGCCAGCCCTGGGCCTCCAGGCTGCAGTGAACCATCAGCGTGGGAGGCCCTGAGTCAGCAATTCTATTCCTACTCTTGAGAGAGGACAAGGACAAAAGGACAAATGAATCCCAAATAAATGACAGAGCAAAGCAAACCCACCATCTCCATCCATGTCATCATCACAAGCGTCTCCTTTTCCGTCCCCGTCAGTATCTTTCTGGTCATTATTTAAGACTGTCCGGCAGTTGTCACAGGCATCCCCAAAGATATCTTTATCGCTGTTCCTTTGGTCCACATTGTGAGTCAAGACACAGTTATCCTAAAAGAGGGGATGAGGGGACACTTACTCAGACTTTCACTAAATTCACTCCCCCCACTGGAAGGAGAGGTGGCCCAAGTCTATTAATTTTATTTTTTCAAACATTTGCGAATCTTATGAAATAAAAAGTTGCAGAGGGCTGGGGATATGGCTCAAGCRGTAGCGCRCTCGCCTGGCATGCATATGGCCCGGGTTCAATCCTCAGTACCACATACAAACAAAGATGTTATGTCGGCCGAAAAACTAAAAATAAATATTAAAAAAATTCATTCTCTCTCTCTCTCTTAAAAAAAAAAAAGTTGCAGTGCTGCTGGTCTTGGTGGTGCATGCCTATAATCTCAGTGGCTCAGGAGGCTGAGGCAGGAGGATTGCGACTTCAAAGTCAGCCTCAGCAAAAGTGAGGCACTAAGCAACTCAGTGAGACCCTGTCTCTAAATAAAACACAGGGATGTGGCTCAATGGTCAAGTGCCCCTGGGTTCAATCCCTGATACCAAAAAAAAAAAAAAAAAAAAAAGTTTCAGTGCTATAGGGACAGAGTGGCAACTAATATTTAGGATGATCAATATAAATAGTTGATGGGGCTCTCTTCCATCATCCCTGGCATTTGGCATCACGTTGTAGTTCATGGGTGCTCCCCACAAAACTGGTACCTGTTCATTCAGGATCCCATCTCCATCAGCATCCTCGTCACAAGCATCTCCAATGCCGTCTCTGTCTGCATCTTCCTGGCCAGAGTTTGGCACATACTTGCAGTTGTCCTAAGGAGGAAACAGCTCAGAGTGACATCCTACTTCCTGTCTTACATTGAAAACCAGCTATGATCTCAAGACCAAGTGTGGCTGATTTTATTGTTGGTGGCTGTTTTGCTTCATTTGAGATGCAACTACTTTAAAAATKCMATTTTAAATGGGACCTGCAGAATGTTTCCCCCACATGAGATGTGGTTTTGTAAAGTCAAAGTGTGTACTTGCGTATGCGTGTGTGTGTGTGTGTGTGTGTGTGTGTGTGTGTGTGTGTGTGTTTCTCTTGCTTCTCCGTCTTACCTTCTTGCAGTTCCTGGCAGAGCATGGCAGTTCTTCATCAGGGTAACTGTCGATGTCCACATCCTTTCCACAGACATAGCCATCACCAGCCCACCCGACTCCGCACTGTGAAAGGAAAGCCCATTAGAGGCCTGGGAAGCTGAGCCTGGCCAGGAGGCAGGAAGCCAATAGGGTCTCTGCTCCTGTATGTGCATCCCCAGGGGAAGGGCCTGAAGCCTAGCAGCTTTGGTTAGATGAGATTTTAAAACTATTTAATTGCATTTGGATAGTCTAATGGTTCAAAATTCAAAAGACACAAAGCGAAATCAATGCTAAAAACTATCCTTCTGCTCCTGTTCCCATGGCTCAGGCAATCAAAGGAATCCATTCTTATGTTATACTGTCAGAGAGTCTGTGCACAGACAAGCCAGTGTCTTTCTCTCATTTTGTCCTTTTGCAAAATTGTGTGTGTGTATCATTGTTTGTACATCTACACACACACACATACCACACACACACCTGTTCTACACCTTGGCTTTTTAAAAAAAAAAAAAAAACTCCCCATTCTATCTTGGAGCTCTTTCCATATTGTTCCATGTAGATTCATGCCATTCTTTTTGATGGCTGCAGACATATCACCCTATGATTGTCTGGATGCACCTCAATTAATTCAACTAGTTTTCCACTGGTGGGTGTCAGGCTTCTAATGTCTCTCCTGTTGCTAACAATGCTGCCACCAATAATTCTGGCCCATTAGTCATTTTGTGTATGCGTACTAGTTTCACAGCATGGAATTTCTGGTTTAAAGGGATCTGCATTTGTAAGTTTGAATTATGGTCCCAACAGTTTTCAGGTGAATGTCCAACTTATTCTTCTCCTGAAAATGAGTGATTGGGTGGAGTGGTTCCTGTGGCATTTTCCTTATCATTCTCGAATCACAGTCTTATCTCTGAATTTGTCTTCTGGATTAATTTCTACCAAAGGGGGAACCTTCCAAGGTACTTATCTCTTTTTACATCCCTTCCTTTTAGCAGAAGGTTCCCACAGGTGCAGTGTGAGATCAATGTCTCTATCTGCCTGGAGATGTGTACCCGAGGATCCTGCTGCCACTGATGGTGAAGGTAAGCCTTCACCTTCAGCAGAACAAGGGTGAGGTTAACAGCTGTCCTGTAGCCAACTTTTCAGAAACACGTTCTCCTATCTTTACAATAATGTTGCAAGATCGTCATTCTTTTCCACAGAAGAGCCAGGTAGGCTCAGCCTAGTTCAGTGCCTTGCTCAGAGCTGGGAAATGTGACCTTAAGTCTGTCCCCTTCCAGTGAGTTTTGCCATTTATACATGGTTCATGTGCATGTTTTGAGTTCTTCTTCTGCTAATCTACGTCTGAGGAGGCCGAGTTAGAGGATGACAATACACCGAGGAGAAAGGAAACCTTTCCAGAAGGGTCCTGGATATGAGATGGAGCAGGTTGGGCTGCCCTGGGGAAGAATAGGCAGGACATTGGAAGGAGAAGGGGAAAAAGGGGCCATAAAAAAYGACAGAACCAGAAATGCAGGGAGAGGAAAAATGAACCCGTGGCATAAAGACAGAGCAGGGAAAGAATCTGAGGGAGAAAGTCTGGGCCAACGGGAARCACACTTTGCAGAGCAAATGTGAAATTTCCTGGCCTCTCTAATCAAAATAAGGTGCTTTGGGAGCAGTGGTTTCCTGAGCGGCAGCCTGCCTGTCTTATCATCTGCTCTCTCCCTTTACAGCCAGAGATTGAGAAGGCCAGATTCCAAAGAAATCCTCCCAGAGCTCACCAATCCCTGCTCAATTGCTTCAGCAAAATGCCTCTGGAAGGCCTGAAGAGTTTAGCCATGGGGTATGGTCCTTGACTCACTTTAATGAGGAAAAATTTCCTCTAGGAACAAATACATTTTTAATGAGCCATTTTTCTGGCAGATTAAATTATTTTAGTAGTCACACCAAGTTTATTAATCCTTTACCATCTGTCGCTGTGCCTTATTACAAATTCAAAACATATTAAGAGCCCATCACCCACCATCCCAGGGGCGTCATCAATTTGTTCACAGAAAATGAGGACTTAAACACAGAGATACACTTGCTACCCAGTGACTTTTTTTTTTTTTTTGGTAATAAACATGCCCAACCAACAGGAACTGGGGAGCTTTCTGGGATTTTTCCCCTCTGACAACAGCACATCTCTTCATCCTGAAGTTGTTCCAGAATATCTGGATTGCCAGGGAAGACTATTATCCTTACTTCTTTTACTTATTTTTGACTCTTCTTATTTTTCCCATATGAAAAGTGGCATGATAATTGCAGAAAAGCTTCCAGGAATGAAGACAAAGGATTCTCAGTTTAAGGTATGAGGAAGAGGACACATTCTCACAGAATCCATGCTGCAGCCCAGGGGTGCTTGCTATGACCCTCAGACTGGCTAAAGGGCCACCTGCTGGGGGCCTGGCACCCAGGAAGTAGGGAAGAAGTGAGCAGCCAAGGTTGGCTGACTTGTCAGTACCCACAGTCCCTGAGGACTCTGGGTCCTGGAGTTTGGGAATAGGTGGTCCTTCCCAAAGGGCCCTCTACAGGCTCAGCATGAGGCCCATGTCAGCTGTGGGTGCTCGGCTGTCTGCCCAGGTTCCTCCTGCCCACACTGGCTCCAGGGCTGGGAATGGACAGGAAACATGACCATACACTGAGCTGTCCCTGCCTAGGGCTGAGGAGGACATAAAASAATGGCATTGTTCCCCACTTAGACTCACTATATAATGGAGGTTTCTCCTAAGGACTTTCAACAGCCCTCATCTCTGCATTGTGACACCCTCTGAAAATGGACATGAGAGGTCTCAAGGGTACGGAGAATCAGAAATGGCAGCAGGTATGCCTGTCAAGTACAAGTGGACAGGGCAGAAGAAGGAAAGGGAGGAGGAGAACSAGCCTCCCAGTCCCTGGATTCTTGGGCTTCTCCACAGAAGGTGCTTGGAAGCTGGGGCTCCACCATCCAGGTGAGCAACTGAGTAGTGTTGCTCCCATGGCTTTCATATGTGGTTCATATAAAAGGGAAAGAACAGGCAGCCGAAGGTTAGGTGGGCTCTGGACTGCTCCCCACAAACCCAGCTGTCTTGTCACATTCTGTGCCCATTTTGATGGCAACATTTTCATTTCGGAGCACTTTTACCTAGAAGCAAGCAAAACTGGAGGGAGGTAGTGTCTGAAATGGAAAAAAGGAAAAACAAAGCAAGAAAACAACTTACCACGCAGGTCACTTCGCCCTGCCTCTCCTCAATGCACTGTGCATTCACACTGCAAGGGTTCAGCTCTGGATTTCTGCAGTTTCTTTCGGTTTTACATCCCCTTGTCTGGTCACCAGTGTACCCTGGTTTGCAAGGCCCACAGCGGTAAGACCCCTGCAATGGACAAAGATGAGAGGATGAACCAGGGGTTCAAACCTGTGAACAAAGGCACTACTGTTTATATATATATATACACACACACACTCAGTGATTCCAGGATTAAGTAGGCCCAGGCCTGTCTCTCTGTTTGCATGTGTATATTATGCGGTCAAGTGAATGTTGGTGAAAACATCATTAGATCGAAGCTGCAGAGGGCCTTGTAGACAATGAAGGTGTAGCACTGAAGGGAGAGAAGGGTCAACAGTGACCCAGCAGCACTCTGGCCCTGCCAGCTGCACTGTGGAGGGTGAAGGAGGAAAGGCTGAAAGTTCTAATGAGTCCTGGAAGGTGGAGTAGGGAGCTTCGCCCTGGAGACAGGGAGATGATTTGGTTAGAAAGGCCTTTTTTTTTTTTTTTAAACTATTCCTTTGGCTCTTTTATAATTAAATGACAAAGAAACAGGTACAAAGAGAAATGTTGGTGGCTTGCATTGAGAATTCTTGATGAGGTAGGTTGCTATGGAAGAAGAAACTGGCAAATGAGCCATCAGCTCCACCACAACTTCCAGGGACACACAGGACCTCTTTTTACATTTTTTTCTTTTTTTAACAGTTAAAAAATATTTTGTATTAAAAATTTTAGCCTAATTGAGGTATAACTGACACATTGTATATATTTAAAATTCAATATATTTAAAGTACACAGTGTGATGGTGTAATATATGTATATACTGTGAAGTAATTATCACAGTGAGTTAATTAAGACATCTCTCACCTCCTATAGTTATTTTTCTTCCTTTGGTGAGAACACTAAGATCTACTCTCTTAGCAAATTTCACATATACAGTACAGTATTGTTATCTACAGTCCCCATGCCATACAATAGATCCTCAGAACTTACGCATCCTATACAGCTTTACTGAGATACAAATACATACCATAAAAGATTCCTGTATAAAGTATGCAGTTGAATATTTTAGTCACTCAGGAACTTTTCATGGGCAAGTCTGAAGGATGCTTTGCAATGATTTTTTATGATCTGTCAGCTTCACTGAGTATCCCTCACTCCTTTTCTTGATATCTGTTCTTTTTCTTTGCCTACTCCTTCATCTTTTGGATTCCCTGGAGGTCTATCCATTATCTACTTTTCTTCTCTGTGAGTGGCTTCTGTTATTACTTTTGTATGTGTGTGTATGTGTGTGTGTGTGTGTGTGTGTGTGTGTGTGTGTGGTGCTGGGGATTGAACCCAGGGCCTTGTGCATGTGAGGCAAACACTCTACCAACTGAGCTATATCCCCAAGCCCCTGTTATTACCTGTTATTTCTCAAATCTGTTTTTGCAGACCAGCTTTGTCCTGGTAAAAAGCTAAGAAGCTACACAATGGAATATTAATCAGCTATAAAGAAAAATGAAATTATGGCATTTGCCGGTAAATGGATGGAACTGAAGACTATCATACTAAGTGAAATAAGCCAATGTCCCCAAACCAAAGGCTGAATGTTCTCTCTGATAATGTGGATGCTAACACACAATAAGGGGGGAGGAGGGAAGAATAGAAGTTCACTGGATTAGACAAAGGGGAATGAAGGTGAGGGAATTGGTGTTCCCAATGAAGGAACGGGAATGACAGTGTAATGAATCAGACATAACTTTCCTCTGTTTGTATATGAATACACGACCAGTATAACTCCACATCATGTTCAACCCCAAGAATGGGAAGTTACACTCTACGTATGTATAATATGTCAAAATACACTCTACTATCATGTATATCTAAAAAGAACAAATAAAATAAATTTTGAAAAAAAGAATGCTTAAAGCTATGTCTCCTGATAGTGTAGCTACTGAGCAGCTGTTTAAAGTGGAGAGGGGGGAATAATTTCATTGATCCTATTACAATTGGTCTTAATATTGTTCTTCTGTTATGCGCATTATGTGGGACAGAGTAAGTAAGTCATATTACAAAAGCTAAGAAGCAATAAATCCTAGTACATTCCAAAGAAGTACAGTATCATGGGAGAAGAATTTGAGCTTTGTAGTCAGCCTGGAAGGATAGTGAGAAGGGACCTCAGCCTAATTATGCAACTCTCCTGTGTCTCAATCTCTTCAACCGTAAAATGGGGATAATAATAGTGCCTAGGCTTAGGGCTGTTGTGACAGTTAAAATAAATGACTTGATGTTTGTGAAGAACTTTTGCTTATAAGGAAATGAGGAAACTAAGATTAAACAGCTTTTCCAGGGATGCTGGTAACCTGGAAGAGTCGTAAATGGAGTCAGGACTTTTTCTTGTTGCTGGTCCACCCTGCTACCTCTTTCATCTTAATACTGTTGATAGGAACTTTCAGAAATAAAACTCATATCTGAATATTAAATTACAGACTCCTTTGTACTAAGCATTTTCATTTAATATAAATGACTTGTGCAAAGTTTTATGAAAATAGTGCTGTTTGGGGATTGAGTAATCACCAGAATAATACTGAACTGTTAATATAAACCAAGAGGTGCTTCATATTTTCAAAGTACAAGGGTGGCAGTAAATTATCCAATAAAGTTCCCCAAAGCACAATATTGCAACTTTAATACAAGAAAAAGAACAAACCTGGCATTTAAAAATTTCTTATATTGAATATGACTTGTAAAATAATTCTTACAGTAAACACATTTGTAGCAAGCTTTTGCCCTAGTTCTGTCAATCAAATGTATTATTCCCCCGTGTTCTATGTCTTTGGAGTTAGGATTTATGAACACACTATTGCTTCCATAATGGTCCTGGTTTGGTAGCAAAAAATCAAACCAGAGACTCTGCATCTAATAAAAGAAAAAGTTGGTCCTAATCTCCATCATGTGGGGTCGGGCCCCAAATTCCTAAACACCTATAGCACAAGAGTTAAGAATCAACAAATGGGACGTATCCAAACTAAAAAGTTTTTTCTCAGCAAGAGAAATAATATGTGAAGTAAATAGGGAGCCTATATCCTGGGAACAAATTTTTACCCCTCACACTTCAGATACAGCACTAATCTCTAGAGTATACAAAGAACTCAAAAAGTAAACAACAACAAAAAACATAAATAACCCAATCAACAAATGGTCCAAGGACCTAAACAGACACTTCTCAGAAGAGGACATACAATCAATCAACAAATACACGAAAAAATGCTCACCATTTCTAGCAATCAGAGAAATGCAAATTAAAACTACTCTAAGATACCATCTCACTCCAGTAAGAATGGCAGCCATTATGAAGTCAAACAATTACAAGTGCTGGTGAGGATTCGGGAGAAAAAGGTACACTCATGCACTGACGGTGGGACTGCAAATTGGTACAGCCAATTTGGAAAGTAGTATGGAGATTCCTTGGAAAGCTGGGAATGGAACCACCATTTGACCCAGCTATTTCCCTTCTCACACTATACCCAAAAGACCTAAGAAGAGCATACTACAGGGACATAGCCACATCAATGTTTATAGCAGCACCATTCACAATAGCTAGACTGTGGAACCAACTTAGATGCCCTTCAATAGATGAATGGATAAAAAAAATGTGGCATTTATACACAATGGAATATTACACAGCACTAAAAAACAACAAGATCATGGCATTTGCAGGGAAATGGGCGGCATTAGAGCAGTTTATGCTAAGTGAAGTTAGCCAATCCCTAAAAAACAAATGCCTAATGTCTTTTCTGATATAAGGGGTGACTCAAAATGGGGTAGGGAGGAAGAGCATGAGAAGAAGATTACCACTAAATAGGAAAAAGAGGTCAGAGGGAATGGGAGGGAGAAGGGGAATTGCACGGAAGATGGAAGGAGACCCTCATCGTTATACAAAATAAATGTATGATGATGTGAGGGGGGAAAAAAGAGAGAAATGTGTCACATTAGATTGGGTGGAAAGAGGTGATGGGAGGGGGAGGGGAGGGGAAGGGGGGATAGGAAGGGCAACAGAATAAAATAGATACTAGTATTGCTGTATGTATATGCGTGGCTGTATAACTAATGTGATTCTGCAACCTGTACACTTGGAAAAATGAGAAATTATACCCTATTTGATTCAAATGTACGATATGTCAAGATCATTGTACTGTCATGAGCAACTAATAAAAAAAAAAAAACAAGAGACATACTCACCAATGTGTTGATACAGATGGAATTCGGAACACACGCCCCATTCAGACACTCGTCAACATCAGTGCACACCTAGGCAGAGAAGTTTAAAGAAAGTTTAGAGAGACCTGCTGCTTAAATAGAAATGCAAATAAGTTTTTCTCTGTTTTGATATCTCTGTGTGAAGTGAAGACCCACAGAATTTCAGGTAGAACAGTAACTGAGGGTTATTTTGGCTGTCTCGAGGCATTTGTTCCAGTCTGTACTTAACCTAATTGCAAGTGAGAATTGCCTCCATGGTATTTAAAGTTGTTCAGAAAAGACGACTTGTACAACTCATCTGTTCTGCACCTTTTTAGCCTGGAAAGTTTTTTTTTTTTCTTTTTTAATCCTACTTGGGACTCACTGTATTTCTATCTAAAGATTCATATCTTTCCTTAATTCTGGAATATTCTCACCTTCTTTCCATTTTTAGTTTTTCTTTGGAACTACCATTAGACAAATGTTGGGCTTTCTCATTAATATCTTCTTTTGATCTTTACCTCCTTTTTATATTTTTTTATATCTTTATTTCTCTGTATTCCATTCTGGAAGGTTTCCTTAGAATAACCTCAGTCTATGAATTCTTTCAGCTGTGTCTAATTTGTTTTACTCTGTTTTTGAGCTTTTAAGTTCAATGATTATATTTTTATTGATAAAAGCTTTATTTGCCTATCTTTCAAACTCTTTTCCACAATGCCACATTCTTTAATTATGGTTATCTATTCCTTCTTTTCTCTCTTTTCCCTTTATTATTTCTTTTGTTCTTACCACCTTTCCTTATGGTACCGTCTTCATATGAATTGCCATTTTTGTTTATGAGCAGGCTACTTAGGAGCCCTGATTTTTCCTAAGGCATTCCACTGGCCCTGAATTCTGGGATGTTTTTATACAGTGGCATGACTAGCCGGGGTTCTCACAATTTCATTGCTCTAGGTCTGGTTTTTATTGGTGTGTGTTTCTGCATTATATGTGCATGGGTATGGGGCTCATAACTGTATGTGGTACAAACCTGGAAATTTGTTTTTGTTTTTTTGGCTCTTGCAATTGAAGTCAGAGGTGCTCTACCACTAAGCTACATCTSACCCCGACTCCAGCCCTTTTCATTTTGAGATAAGGTCTCCCTGAATTGTCCAGGCTGGCCCCAAACTTTCGATCCTCCTGCCCCAGCACCTAAGTGGCTATGAAAGCCGCAGCTCCCCATTCCTGGAACTCACACCCCACTCCATCACCCATGAGCTGCTGTGGATCCGTTTCTACTCACAACTCTGGCTTTCCCTGTCTCTAGAACTGGCACCGTTTCCCTTTCTTTCTTTTGACCTTGGTAACTCATTAAACTTGTGATAAAATTTGCAAGCTGGCTCCCTTCTGCTTCAGTATGGTGTACCATATTGCCGGGAGTCCACTGGGAATTGTCCTTACCAGCTTATATCCAGCTTTATATTTCACTTTGTCTGCTTTCTTTGGTTTAGTCTTGGAGATTTTGTCATTAAAGGAGAAGAAGAAAGCCTTGGAATCCTTCCTCTAAGCGTCCCCTGGTCATTCTGCTGTGTCTAGCTTGCCTCCCTTTTCTTGTCTAAAAACTGATGTCCTCTAGAATCCTTTGATAGGCATCTAGGAAATAATGAACCCCTGCCCTTCTTCAAAGCTAATCATTTCCCTAAGGTAGTAAAATATATTTATAGATCAACCATCTTTAAGGGCTGAAAACATCAAAAAGAATTTCACAGTCAGTCAGTTAAATAATGACCAGGATACAGTAGAACATTTGGAAATAAATGGAGACTGTCACGAAGTACTCGAGTGTTTTATGGCGATTTATAGCTTATCTAAGAAAAAGGGTAGGTTTCCTCAGGGTATTATTTTTACTCTTGAAATCCTCTCATCTCCAAAACAGCTTCTGATTGGCAACAGTGGCTCAATAAAGAGGACCTAATTTTCCAAAGCTTTTATTTGTTCCCTGTTTCTCAAGTTTATTCTGCAGGACAAAATGTCCAAAGGCTACAAACAGAATAAGTCTACAGTCATGCCACAAATCCCCATTCTCTGATTCCAACTTTAACAGCTTCTTCCCTTCTCGAATATAACCCCAGAAACGAGTTGAAGACCCTCTAACTTTCTCATCGTGCACTATGACATCTGATAGGCATTGGCTGCTCCAGAAGAATTGGGAAATTATTCTCCTAAGACGAAAAATGAATAAAAACCATAACTTCAACCCACCTGCTTGTTTGTCTTGGCAAAACTGATTCCAACACCCTGTACCAGGGGCCCCATGAAGCCCACAGGGCAGGCATCACATCTGAAGCCAGGAGCCAAGTTCACACAGCGGACACCTGGGTAGCAGGGATGATATTTGCACTGGAGGAAAAAAAAAAATCATAGTCTTTAACTACACAGAGAAAACACTCTCCAATCCCTTACCTATCTGTACATGCCTATTAATTCATTTAAGTCTCTTTTTTTTTGGTGGAAAAATGATAAAAGGAAATTAAGGGTTCTAACTTCAGAATTACCCATTGGATCCCTGATCCTCCCAACCTGGGGCTGCCTTCTGTGGGCTTTGTTGTGTCACAGAATAATGCACCTCCAAGTCAAGAGGTCCTTAATGTGAACCAGTCCACTCCCAGTGTATATGCTTCCTCGTGTTCTAGCATGGAGTGTACAAATCCCTGTGAAAGGACTGTGTCCCTGCACCGCTTGTAAGCTGGCTGTGAGATGACTCCAAAGGCATTAGCTAAGCAATTCAAATGGAAAGAGCTTGAGAAGGTAATGCCAGGGCAGATGCGTCTTCAGTAAGATGGGATCCTTCAGAGTCTGCCTGCCTTCGTGCCCTGTTAAGAAGTTCAGTGTTATTCCAAGGCTTTTGTGGTCTAGGAGATTGGTTTTGATACCTTTTATTAAAAAAAAAAAAAAAACACTTGAACTAATGTAAAAAACATGACCACTTCCTGCCCTTTCAAAAAGGAGGAAAATTCCAGCTCACAGATAAAAGCCAGATGCAGTTCTATGAAACACATGCAGATGTTTCTCCAACTGAGGGATTACTAGAGACCATCTTAGTTGCTCACAACTGGGGGCGGGGGTGGGTAATGAGATAAGCACTACCATGAGCCTGGGGGAGCCCAGGGTGCAGCTGCGTCTCTGTGGTTCCCTGCTTTTCCCTGTCTCCCCACCACCACCCAATCTCTCCTTTCAGCTTTCTTCTGGCTGGTAGGTGGGGAAGGCACATTTTGATGGCAGCCTTGCTACTTTCTATGGACACAGCTTTGCAATGAGACTAGTGACCAGCTAACCATGGTCCTGAAACTGTCTGCTTCTCAGATTCTGCCTGCTGATCAGAGAGCCTGTATTAGCTGTATGTGTTCTCACGGGCTCCCTCCCTGAGCACTTCTGGATAATCACAGGTTACAGGCCTCCTGGATAGATCTTGGCATGAGATTCCCAGTGCTCCTCTATTTTAAGAGGCCTGAAGAAAACCATTATAACTCTTGAAATATACCCTTACACAGATCTTCCCCTCCCACATTTGCAAAAGCATGAGGAAAGCGAATTTCTATCAGACCGCTTAGGAGAAATGATCAATGCAGATGTTGGAGCAGTAAGCAAAAATCACAGCATTGCAGCAAAGGGACTGGTAGACAAGTTGGAAACAGGAGAAATGACAGCCACRGCTACAACTGTGTCCTGTGCCTCCTTTATCCTGATGCTTACTGTGTCTCAGGGTCTCAAGGATTCATAAGGAAGTAGTTTGTGATGGAGCCCAAGTCATCCTTTAATTGCTAGCATGGCTTCTTTGGCCAGAAGCTGAAGGGTATGGACAAAGCTTAAAGAGCTCCTGCCCCATCTAAATGAACTTGTACCTCATCAACATCAGAGCAGGTGATCCCGTTCCCTGTGTAGCCATCAGGGCAGGACCCACACTGGAAGCCATCTCTGGTGTCAGTGCATCGAACGCCTCGGAAACATGGGTTGGAGTCACACCGGCGTGTAGGGCGTGTTGGGGGAGCTGGGGGTGCTGGGGGAACCAGTGTGTTCGGGGTTGGAGACTGAAAACTGAGAGGACCTAGAGAAAAATAATAATTAGTAGGCTGATGCACCACTGGGGAACATACAGAATATAAAATGCAATTTGGGGTTTCCTGATAAGCTTTTCTTCCCTTCCCTCCAACTACATGTAGACTGGAAACTCTGCACAACTCTGTGCTGGAAATTGTGGTCATGTGATGATCTGGATCACCTGACTCAGAATGGGCCAGTCACCAGGGAGGTACTTACCACAAGCCTGGCATTCAGAGATGGTGTTTCGTAAAAATGATGTTTCCTTGACCTTTAGAAATGAGAAGTGGAAAACAGATTGAAAAAAATCCAGGAAGAAAGAATCTATGTGGAGCTGTCTAAGCACTTCTTATAGTCATGCTCAAGGAATCCTTTATGGCTCCCACTTGTCCTGGAGCCATGCAGTGTTCATGGCAAGAGTGTCCCCCATTTCCAGAGCCCTTCTGGCCACACCCTGGGCTGGCAGGCTGTGTAGGGGACACCTGAGGTGTGGCTCAGGACATGTCGCTCTCCCTGCCTGTGCAAGCCCATAGCTTCTCTGGCTTGTGCTGAGAACTGCTCTGATAAGACTCTGGCTTTTTTTCATGGTATGTCCTGTTCATTACCTGCTGTCTCAGAAGATCCTTCACTTCTGCCAGAAGTTGGTTTAGTTGTGCCATTTGACCCAAGAACTGCCGATTAAAGTCCCCTGTAGGAATAGCAAAAGGTAAGGCTTACTCATCCAGTGACGGTTATTTCTAAGTGACTCAAAAACCCCAATGATTCCCCACCCAGAGAATCATCATGACAAGATTCAATAACTTGGAGTATCTGCATTTAATTTGGAGCAATTTATCTAATTTGCCTAACAAAATAATGACAATGATGCTTCTGGTTAGTCTGAATTCGTTTGAGTTACAAAAATAAAAGTGCAATGAAAAGATTTCTTGCCCTTGATTTTCCCAAGAGCCTAATTTTTGCAGATATATTCTGTGGGGCTGCTCTGATGACAGCCTGCCTTTCAGTCATGGGACCTAGCCCAGTCAGGGGGCCTGGGAGATGGTCTGTGAAAACTGCCTGGGAGCCCACACCTGTGCTTGTCGTGGCCAGGGGCTCGCTCTGCTGCAGGAAGCAGTCTTGTAGGCTGGCCACCTGGAACAGTGAGCCTCTAACCACCAGCTTCAGCTCTTCCAAGAAGTCCTGGAAAAAAAAATCACATTCATACCACAGATTGCTGCCACTGTTCCAAAGCCAATGTGCTTGCAGACTCACAATTTTCATAAAAAGAGCAGCCCTGGATACCTGGATGCCAACATCTTACATAATTTTGTAGATTCACATTTTTCTAAAACTTGTCAGTCTTATCCTTTTGACTGAAGCAAATATGGAAGTAGTCAGTTGCCTACGAAAACGCTGGCATCTAACTTGGCCTGAGATTCCATCAGGGTGGCTGAGGGGAAGAAGGGCTGTTTTCCTTCATGGTAAGTGAGTTATTTTGTGGCAGGAGCTTCTTAAGAACTGTCTGGAATTTGTTTATCAACTTTAGACTAAAATAAGCTATTGATCCCAATTTTAAACAGTATTGTTTTTAGGATGTCTTGGCTAGAGGATTTTGCAAAGCCTCTGATTTCCCTGGGCTAGGAGAATGAATAAGCAGTCTATTCTATGATAAATAGGAAGTTAGCACCACAGTTTTATATTACTAGTTGCTATCAATCATTCATCCTTTCATCGTTAGCCACAAACTCAATTTCCTCTTCCCTTTATCTTGTAATTTTTACTTATACTCACTTTTATTATATCTCTATATGACAGAAATTGTGTTAATTGCTGATGTGAAGTCATCATTCTAATTTTAGAAATGAGCATGCTAAGGATTTTCAAAGAAATTTTTGATTTGACTAAGATCTATGCAACACATGTTGTGTAAAGGAAAGTGTGTTGGACATCAGACTCCAGCTCCATGGAGACAGGACCATGACTGGTTCTGTTCACCACAGAATCTCCGATGACCATAACAGGCTATTTGTTGACTAATTAATTTTGAATGAGTGAGAAGGTGACTACAAAAACCAAGCCTCTGTGGTCCCTGCTGATAGTTCAAGGAACAGAGCTTTTGAGAAAATTCTAATGAGTATAGATTCTCAAGAACTTGTCATAGATGACTTTTAGAAACTGACTTATTGGGTTGGGGATGTGGCTCAAGCGGTAGCACGCTCGCCTGGCATGCGTGCGGCCCAGGTTCGATCCTCAGCACCACATACCAACAAAGATGTTGTGTCCGCCGAAAACTGAAAAATAAATATTGAAATTCTCTCTCTCTCTCTCTCTCTCTCTCT